TTGCTTCATTTATTGCACCGGTGGAGATTATATTCTGTGCTGGATATACCCACACGTATACGGTAGTCCCTCGGTTAACGTTTTTAATCCGTGCCACAAAAACTGCTGTGAACGGAAATAACTGCTAATCGGATTCACCTATATGTCATGGGACCTCCTTTGCCAGTACCAAATTATGAGAATAGGTTTTCCCCTTTTTTTTGGCAACAAAACAGGTGTTAAATGTTAAAACACCAAACTGAAACCTTTTGCAAGGAATCATGTCTGCATTAACCACAATACTTGTGGTCTAACACACCGTTTGAGACTAGGCTCGAAAGAAAGCTGTCTCTGGTGTGGACAAATCAGTTTCAAAGACAATGCATATATAATTATCAGAGGATGTTTTTTGTTTGCATTCTGACCACAAGTATTGTGGTTAATGCAGACATGATTCCTTGCAAAAGTTTTCAGGTTGGTGTTTTAACATCTTAACACCTATTTTGTTGCCAGAAAAAAAGGGGAAAACCCCTATTCTCGGATTCACCTATACGTTGAAAACTAAGAGTCTGCGCTAGAGAGCTGTTTCCACTGCCAAAACAGAAAACATTGTGTAAACAAAGCCAGGCGAGGTCGTTGATTGGCTCAGCCCCACTTACGAGCGCTCGGATTAGACGAAATTGGCGCCCCCCTGCGTACATAGCGTAAACGTACCGCTAATTAAAATGTTAACAGAAGTCAAAACCTGTGGGAGGCTAAACGTTAACCGAAAAACCGTTAACCCGATGTCACAGCTAACCGAGGGACCGCTGTGTTGCATTTAGTGGGGGCAGCAGCCACGATTGCAACGGTCAGACTTTAACGAATCTTCTTCTTGGTTCTTTCGGTAAAGTCACGTAGAAGGAAAATAATACAAATAAAACATAATAAAATAATTCTCACGACGTTTCGGCCACAACGCAAGCAGCCGTCCTCAGGTGACTTTACCGAAAGAACCAAGAAGATGAATCCCTGCAGTCACGAAAGCTTTAAATCGAAATTTAGCGAATCTTCATTCAAATGCTTGTCGCGGTGTGTAATGGTTAGCAGCACACCGGAATTGCGATCCAGACGTCCACGGTTCGATCCGATCTCCCAGAGCGGCAGTCGAAATAGTGGGGGAAGTTTCCTAAACTCCCTCGATAATGTCTCTCCCCCATCCCTCCGGCAGTATAGATGGGTTCGTCACATTAGCGGTTGTTAGTCGATGGGCAGGTAACGTGTGGCGGTAGTGAAGCTTTACTCGCTTCTCGAACGCCAGTGGCCAATCAACGACCTTGCCTGGCTTTGTTTACACAATATTTTATGTTTTGGCAGTGGAAACAGCTCTCTAGCGCAGACTCTTAGTTTTCAACGTATAGGTGAATCCGAGAATAAGGGTTTTCCACATTTTTCTGGCAACAAAACAGCTGTGTTAAGATGTTAAAACACCAAAATGAAACCTTTTGCAAGGAATCATGTCTGCATTAACCACAATACTTGTGGTCAGAATGCAAACAAAAAACATACTCTGATAATTATATATGCATTGTCTTTGTAACTGATTGTCATCTCTGTGTGAATCTTTGACGGGAATAAACAATACTTAGAAGAAAAAAACTCGCCTGCAAACAAATCCGAATGCTCTTAGAGAACGACTGTACTTTCATTTGGAATCCATACATTGATCCTCATATGCAACACAACCGCTTCCAGTTGGCAAGAAGCCAAATCAAGTTATCGCTTTTGCATGATTTATTTATTAGATGCGATGATATTATTATTTTTCCCTTGGTCTAAAATATGACCAACATTACTCACCCATTAATAGAGGACAAAGACAAATATGTCCCAGAGAGTCTTAACAGACTGTTGGGGCAACACCAAACCTGGCCGCCTCCCCAGTGCTGATGTTTACACACTGCACCAGATACTCATTTGACGCTAAGTCGACCTAGGCGAGACCCAGGACTGGTTCAGACATTCTTCACCAATGTTGATCGTGAGCGGGAATGGAACTCGTGTCACTGGGGTTCGTAGCGCAGCGCGCTAACCGGTGCCATATCCGCTCCCCACTCACCAAATGCAAAACACACGATCCGAACGCAACACCTTCCTAAACACGGCCTTTTGTGGTGTTTAATTTAACTGGTGCATCTTGCACATCGGTAATGAATGCTGCAGATAACTAAATGTGGTGCAGTAGTCTTTGCAGAGAATGCATGACCCCATTTTCACGCAGAAGAGATATAAATAAGACATATCTAGAACCTGATGCTAATGGAACAGGGCATGCATGATGATGGCAGCTCTTACACGTCCCTTAAAGAAGGTTAAAGGTTTTTTTTTACCAAATGAAAACCCCAGAACGTGGACCTATAAGAAGAATATAAACATGTCACTGTAAAATATCTAACGTTGAGCTGAAGCTTATACACGATTTAATTAAGATTATTTCCTTAAACTCCCAGAATTAATTTTTCATTTGCTTCAGCGGTATGTTTATTCATTTTTTATGATAAGGAATTAAAATTCACCACCAAACTAAGAAGTGCCTGAATTTCAACACGTTGATGAAGTATTTTATATATAGAGACAGATACACTGTGAAATTACTTTCATGATTCGCGAGTTTAGCAACAACCCAGGACAAGCAATGGTAACTGTGTAACAATTAGATGTTGTAAAGAAATAATTAAGGCGAGCAAACACCGTGTCGATACACCACTGGCCCCACTTACTCATGGGAAATAACGGATGACTGGAATAAGTGAATACAAACACAGGTGAGGCGGCGAGAAACGAAATGATTTACAAGTCAATGACAAGAAGATCGAGGCTCATAGTGGACATATCTACCATCAATAGTGTGCAATGGATCTGAGCTTATTCACTTTACAAACCGTCATGGTCACAGATAACAGCCTTGTTTGCTGGTGATTGAGTAAATCTTCGCCTTCGACACCCCCTCCCTTCCGAATGCTGACACAGATTTAGGATTAGCCAACCAACGCCTTCAATGAGTGATCTGAATTCAATTTTGAAATCGTGTTTTTTTTTCATTTTTCTCATACTGGAGACGAGAGTCGTATAACCCAGGACAAGACTATATCACGTGTGGGAAAACAAACAATAAACACACCTCCTGACAGCCTTGTCAAAATTGTGGAGTAATTCTTTTTTGAACTGCATCAAATTACGCTTCCCCTACCCCTCCTCCCATACCATTACGTACTTCCAAGGTCCCCACCTGGGACACTGAACGCTATAAAATCCTTCCGTGACCTACATATCCAAGGCGACGATTTGAATTCGAAATATTTGTAGTCCTACGTCCGATTTTTTTTAGGGTTGTTTTTTATTTTTTTTACATTTCAGTGCAATGTCTGTGGGGATGACACGATCTTGGGGGCCACCCCAGTGCGGACAGCGTGACAAGGAACTTGACACGACACGGGGACTCGACGGACGTGTGAAGTCTGTCGAATGTGCAGGCATAAACCCCGTAGAGATAAAGGTGTTGGGGTTGTTTTTTTATGTTTATTTACGTACAAATGTTTATTCACGTTTTCCAACCGCATGGGACACTTCCAATAATAATAATAACAACACAAACATACACAACCTTCCCAAAAATTACAGCTCGTGTGGGTACTTGAATAATTGCAAAGGGTTGGTCGTTCTTTGTTTTAAGTGAACACAAGACGGGTGGGGGTGGAGGGATTTGGGGTAGTGGTTGACATATGGGAGGGGGGAATCCCATGCGATTAACAAGGGGGGGAGGGGGTCCCAGCGGCACTGGGACGCGGTGGGTTCCCGGACGTGTGGAGTGTGAAGGGAGAGAGGCTGGTGCTTGAAAGGGTTATCTAAGAATGGATCCCCATGCTGATTTCAAATCTGCCTCCTTCCCCTTTAAGTATGTATCCCAGGTTAGGTGGCGTTGCCTTTAAGGAGACAAACCGTCATGTGATGTGTCTTCTGGGTTGCAATCCTCCTCCCGGAGCTGATCAAATATACACGCTCCATTGCGTTGTGGTTCGTTGTTATTTCGTGAATATTATTTATTGGACCGGGGACTCGCTCGACACATTTGTGGCTGGATTTCAGAGCGGTTTTATAGAAAATAATTTAAGCGTTAAAAAACAACACAATTGCGTGATCTTTCACGTTCAGTGAGAATATTATTAATTTTCTCAAAGATGTTCAACATTTATCAAGGGCGTAAAAGCCGCGTGCTATGGGATCTGTGGTGACAGCGAGTATAGTTTAGTAAATAAATAAGCCACTCCAATATCTATTTCTCTAAATCTTTGGAAATGTGTAATGCATACATAAATACGCCTATCCTCGATTGCTTACGTGTTTACAAGTCGTTTTCACTGTTAAACAAATTCCTGACCTCAAGAGGCATATTACAAATAGCTTCTTGTATAATCGTGATATCTAATTGCCCCACAGGTGAGATACACTAACATAATTGAGATTGGAAGAAGAAAAAAATATTTGCCGAATTGCTCGCAGTAATTGTGTTTTGCAAACAATTAGCAGTAGGTTACAGTGAATGAATTTCACGACAAAAAGCACAGTCGCATTTTTTGTCCCCCTTTACCACGTACACGCCTGCTAAACAATTCCCTTGTATGTTTAATGCGGGACCTGTTCCATTTTAATATAGTGGAGAAGTTACGGTTTAATGTTAGCTTATGCCCTGGACATACACGCTTGGCATACAGATGCATTTGTTTTCAAATCCCACCTGCATTGAATTGTTCCTGTCATATGCTGAATGTCCCATGCATTCTATTATTAAACTAAAATGAATAACTCTTTGGTTCTCTCGGTAATATGAATAAATCGACAAGGCACAATTTATATTTACTGATTTCGTTTGTGACAATAGTATTGCTCAACATATATTATGTATGAATTAAATAATAGGATTTCCCTCCTTTTTTCTGGCTACGAAACTGAAACCTTTATACAAGGAATCATGTCTGTGTAATGGGTTCCGGAGACACTTGTAGAGGTAACTTCTTTATTACAATACAACACTCCAACAGTCCTGATACTCTGTTACAGCCTAGGGACACAGCCTAGGGACACAGCCTCCTCCTAGCGTACCTGACTCTGGCTACGCTCTGGGGTCCTCCGGCTACAATTACCCTAGGGGAGGCTACCTGACCCGACCCAGCCAAGGTGCGGGTCTAGACTCTGGCTTCCTCGGAACTCGCCCTTACAAGGACGTAGAGCCAGGAGTCCCAGAGTCCCACCACTGGCCCGCACAGCGTCCCGGCCCTTACAAGGACAAGCGGGACGAGGGGGTCCAGGGTCCTAAGCTGGCTGGTCTTGGGTCTTGAGCTGCGACTGGCCCCGATCGGCTAGGGAGCGGCCCTTTTATCCCTTTTGCCCATTGAGGGGTGGGGTTGTGTGGGATCCCAGATACCCCACAGCGCCAAGGGGCTTAGCTGTCTGGGTTGTCTGGGATCCTAGAGCCCGGCGCCGAGGGCTTAGCTGCCTAGGATCCTAGAGCCCCCAGCAGCCCCCCCCCCTCTTGGGCTGGCACAGTGGCCCCTCCCCTGGGGGTCCGAGGTACCTGCAGATGGGCCCTGTCCACCACTGCCGGTAAGTGTGGCCCATCTATGGCACTACATCTGTATTAACCACAATACTTGTGGTCAGAATGCAAACAAAAAACATACTCTGATAATATATGCATTGTTATTGAAACTGATTGGTCCACGCCAGAGACAGCTTTCTTTTGAGCCTCGTCTCAAACGGTCTTCGACCAGAGGACGCCAAAAGGGGAAAACCCTATTCTTAAATTTTGGTACTGCAAAGGAGGTCCCATGATGTAGATGCTCACCCCGAGCTCTCATTACTCTTATAGTGCATTTGCTTTGAGCTGGTCTAACACCAAAAGAAACTGTCTCTGGTGTAGACCAATCAGTTTCAAGGACAGTGCATATAATATCAGAGTATGTTTTTTGTTTGCATTTTGACCACAAGTATTGTGGCTAATGCAGACATGATTCCTTGTAAAAAGGTTTCAGTTTTGTTGCCAGAAAAAGGGGAAAAACCTTTTCTTATATTTTGCTACTGGCAAAGAGGTCCCATGATATATAATGTATTTTCTACTTAATGCTTCGAGAAGTTTACATAACTCCATAAATTTTATTTTCCCTGTAGTCAAAGACAATTTGGAGAAAAAAAATTCAACATCTGTTTGCTTTATTACATTATGCGGTATATCAGGCAACTGTACGGCGTTAGCCTTTAAACATTTAGGCCCTTCCTAATTACGCTTGCTGCATGGGCAATGGTACACCAGTGGATGCAAATGTGTCTGTGGACCTATTCCTTACAAACCAACGACTCTAGGGAGGAAACCCACGAATACCTAAATTGTGAAGGATATAGCAATAATCCAGTAACATGTTGGAGAAACATGCAATAATGTGGCATTAAAAACAAAGCCTGAAACAACAATTCCACGCTTGGTGCAGGGCAATGCTGAGCTCGCCATACTGCCAGTGACATTGCAGAACCATTGCCCTGCATAAAATATACTGTTAAGCCCATCATGCCAAAAGGGCCAATAAAGCGAGTACTACTTTGTGGGGATGTCAACAGTGATTGTTCAATGGATATATTCAGCCATGACATTGCAATGTTGAATGTCAGCCACTCGTTCTGAGCTATAAATGTCGGATAAGCATTGCCTACATGAACATTTGAAATGGAAATCACTTTGTTTCAATGTTCCTGTTTGCCTCAGTGCACTGCTTGTGATTATTAATTACGATTTGAAAAGGTAATCCCAACAACAAGCACGATGACTTGTCAAAACATCTCATAGCGAATTGCCTGCTGTGTATACATCTACGTAATAAGTTAACACTTTGTGATTATTCTGTCGAGATTTGCACCAAATTTGCTTCATACAGAACGTTGTAACGATACTGTATAGTGTTCATTCAGTGCTAGATTGCATTCAGTTATTCATTACTCATTTATCATGCCTCCAAAAGTAATGCGTTTATCACATTTGCGTCTTACTTGCTGCACATATACATAAATTAATAAACCGGGAAATGCATTAGCGCAAAAAAAATCCAAAATGAAAACGTGACGTCCTTGAATTAAATATGGAGACTTTAGGCTTATTAATGAGGTGGGTAATTACATACGTTTTTAAAAGAACAGTTATAATTTCTCATTTTAATCCCGGTTGTGACACACAGACACAGACACACACACAGGCGGGTGTGAGTTAGTGGAGTGTCACCTCGAGGCAAACTTTCCAGGACCACTGACGAAAGACAAGTCCCCCCGACCGCCCATTTAAACTCCCCGCCACGCGTACACCTCCCAATCAATAACAACAGCAGCATTCATTTCCCCGGGCTGGCATTTCTTTATTATTTAATTCCTTCAACACTTGAAAGCTCCCACCGGTCCGTGCAGCGTCCATCCATGATATCAGGACAGTCAGCACCTACCGGCATAATAAATGATTTTGAGACACATTTCGAGATCATTTCTTGTCTGACCTGCAATTACCATTGGACACTCCTAAAAATATTTTATCTGCGACGCGCGTCTGGTTGTCTATTAAATATTGCCCAGATTTCACACACAACTTCGGTCAAAAACATTTTCTGTAGCTGCTCCAAAGGTTTGTAACCACGTTCTTTTCGAGTCTCCTGGCATCATCTTGACGATAAAAATCCCTAAAGTTTAAGTGTGAATGTAATTTTCACAACATAATTGCTATTATGTTTTTTTTTTATCTGTTGTGGAATGCTTTGATGTTGTTTGCCGACCGAGTCGCCCATGAAATAAAAGAGCTTTTTAGCTCAATGCGCTTTACTTGGTGCGAAATAAACTTCTGATTCTGATTCTAAACGAATGTGTCTCGTCACACGCATTACACTACCCCGGCCTATTGGCACCCAAGCTCGTAACGACACCCTCCCTACTCCGGCGCGTTGCTGCCTGTAGAGTATTGGCATCACAACAAGGCGCATACTTTAGTAGACGACGCCTTGGGGAGAAAACGGAACGGGTCAAGACAAAAAAAAAATGCCTAGCAGAGGCGGACACGTGGACGCTGTGGTGGTCGGCTCTTTTAGCATTAAATATTAAACGCCACACTTTCGCCCATCAAAGCTCACGCTACTTTCGCCTCGCTTATGAGAAACGGCTTTGGCACAGGATGAGCCAATATAGCGATATCGATTGCTAATAACGGACACTTAAGGGTGAAGCGAGTGTTAAGCGTTAACAGTAAATAATGGCCAGGTTTTTTTTTACGTCGTTCCAGTCAGCTTTAATCCTCCCCCCCCCCCCAAAAAAAAATTGAGAGCGAGAGAGAGAAGAGCGAGAGAGAGAGAATGAGTGGTCAAAACCTCTCCAAGTTTGAGCTGCGACCAGCGCAGCAAAGGCGAAGCAACGGCCACTCATCTTCCTTATTGCAATGCCCGCGGCCACAGCCACCGTTACGAAGAAAAGTGGCGCGCATTGAGATGTCACTTGTAAATGCAGCAATGGAAGAAGAATAAGAAGGAGGAAAAAAAAGCGAACAGTGTTTGCATTGATTTTCACTCAGGCTACATTACTCCAAATGTATTATTGTATAAATGAATTACCGCGTCGCATTAGTGCGTGTACGCCATGCATTTTTAACGCGCGTCTTCGCAACACTCATTGCCATCGCGCGAGCAAGCAAGCGACGCTGCTGCTGCTGCTGTGGCCGCTGCACCGATACGACACTTTGGGCACGACACACTCCGAAGCGCTCTTTGAGCCTCGGAGAGATTGACGATTCGAGCAATGGTCCAGGAGGAGGAGGATGGAGATTGCGAGCGCTGGCATCGTCACCGGAGATCATTATACACACGTGCGTGCAGGGGCGGCAGGCAGAACAAGTGCGCGCGTTTGGATAATGTACGAGCCGCGTTCTATTTTAAACAGTCGCGTACAAGGAAGGACCAATGGTGATCAAAGTAGCTTGCGTCGGTGTATCCACGAGTCGCACTTGCTCGCGCAATGCATCGCAGAGTAGAGCAGCGCTCCGTGCTTTCTCTCTCTCTCTCTGCCTCTCTCTCTTCAATACGCGCGCGGCTGCATTCCACTCCCGTTCGTTGCACGGGCGGCACGAGTTGCAGCATTTGGCCCGCTCCTTCGTTGTGTGCGATTCCATCAAGTACTCCACCCTCTCCTTGCAGCCTTTTAGACAATGTTTGCCTCTCTCGCTGTAAGTCAATATTCGTCGGCGTCATATTTTTAAGGCTGCTCTTGCAAGTGACTGGTACGCGTAAACGAGATTTTGGGAAATTAACTAAACAGGAACAATATATTATTAGTTATGGGACGCCGTGTATATGCGTCTCGGTGTACCTGCCGTTGATACACTAATGAGTGGGTGATTGTGCTGCGGTGCTTTTATGAGCACGGGGCAGTTATTGAATGGAACGGCATGCTAAGGAGGGAGGGGCAACAGACGGAAAATGAATGAATGAATGGGCACATGGGGAGGAACAAGGAGGCGCTGAGCGTTTGCAGCTGCGCGTGTGCTTTCAGATGGAGCGGCTTCTCGCGATGCGTGTCCTGGCTTCTCTCCTTCTGCTCCTGGAATCGTTCGCCGCCACCACCAGAGCCAACGCGACACTTGGTAAGTTTCAGTCCCAACTGTTGGGCGCCTCTGCTCAAGTGTGTTTTCGCGTGCACCGCGAGTCAGTCGGCAAGGACGTCCGTCCGACGTTTCGCTCCACGGTCTCTTGGAGCTCCTTTAGGAAGCCGAAGCTTCTTCGTCTTCTTCTTCAGAAACTGATGCTCCCAATCGGGCACGTGGAGCGAAACGTCGGACGTCGTGCTGAACACGCGGCAGAACCCCCAACTATACAGTACAATCGCCTATGCAGTAGTGCTGCGATGTTAAACGAACGCTCCAATTATACGCTACGCAGTGGTGCCATGAGTTGTGTTAAAAAGGCTCCCTAGCAATAACACATCAGTCAAGAGGATCAGCCTTGCTGCAAGTGTTCACGCTATCAACACGTCGCTGTGGTGAGCATTGGTACATTTTTTTTAACGACTACCAGCTTCTGTTAAAAATAGCTCCGTGTATTCTGCGCTCTTGCCAAATTATTTTTTATTGTCCCCGTTCAGCAGCTGAGCTCTGTCGTGACATTTATTACCCAGGGTTGTCTTTACACAGTAGTGGCGCGATATGGCCACTAGGGGAACTTTTAGCTCTTGTGCACGTCCGTGCACGCGATGTATTATGTATAAGGCTTAAAAATCCATTTTATTGGGACTCGGATAGCGCACTGCAAATCCCCCTGGCTGACTTCTTGAGCCAGGGTGCGTTGAGTCACAGGACCCTTTAAGGGCGGAGCACAGATCAGCTGCGGTGTGTCGGCTAGTGTTTGACAAGAGAGTTGCGTGAGGAGGTTTTCAAGACACTCTTTGACACGCGAGTTCACGTGTGAACAGCTGAGACGGCGTTGACTTTGACCTTCAAGGCACCCTGCACACCTCTCGCTGGAATGTGTCCATGTATCAGTGTTACTGAAGTTTCCTCCTTGGGCAATACGTGTCCTTTAGAGGAATAATGATTTTGTCTCCAGTTGCGTAACAAAAACACCCGGTCACAATCGGGAATGTTCTGACCGTCAAGAAACAAACTTTTCCACTTAAATATCCAGAAGCTTGCATTCATCAGCTTCGCGTACCGCACGTGCAACGTTATCCATGCGTGTAGAATTTATTGGTGTTGGTTTTCATCATCAAATTCATCATCATCATCATCATCAAATGGATCAACATCATCATTGATAACGGCTTAGGGGTGCCTTAATGCCAGAGTCCGGAGGGCCCACAAACTCTTACATTTCCTCCAGCGAATTAGAAAAAAGGCGATAGGAACTCATGATGCGGCCATTTCCGCCTACATGCCATTGGGATCAATTTCTTACATTGCACTCCGGGCAGATCTTGCCATATATTGCATTACAATGGCAGAAAACACATGTTCGAGCTATTGGATTTCCTGAATTTGTTTTCCTTTTTGTGCAAAAAAAACCAGGCACACTGAAATTCCATGGCAAAGCCATTGTTTTATTATGGCAATATATGTGCATGTATACAAAATCGATTGGACAGTTTTGTTTTTCACTCAATGACTGATTATCCTGTGACTTTCTGTACCAATATGAGAATGTTGTCTTTTGCGCACTTGAAAACCGAAAAACTGAAATAATAAATAAATGTGGGTTGTGGTTCTATTATTTTATTCTATTGTATTAAGTTATTTATTACCATATTATAATGTGCCTATTTGTATATTGGTTATAATCACTGAGTGCATGAAAATGAAAAAAATGCAGAATGTAAAAGATACTGCGATTAAAAAATAACATGAGGTGTGATATCTCATTTTGTAGAGTGTTCAAGGTCAAGGACAATCCGAAATGGTCAAATAAGTATATGAAGCAAAATACAATGTGAATAGAATGTTCATTAATGCATACGCATGCAATACAGTCCCCCATATATTTTTTTTGTATTATCAATTATGATACTCTCCTATGAATTGCGGTGCGTGACTCGAGCTGTCGCTGTTGCTAGGTTTAAAGGGCACTTTGTGATGTGTTGGTCGTTTCAGCTTCTCTTCAGTTTAATTAGACCAATTATGTCACTTGAAATTATTTATACTACGATTGGTGCATTCGTGTAACCAGACATTGATTTTCTTCGATGTGTAAGATTGCTTCGGCAACTAATTGCCTCAATGAGGTGGTGTGTTCTAACTTAAATAGTACTGGTAGGAATCTCCTGGTTATACCAGCCCACAAGGGATTATTGTGTCCGTCCGTCGTGCAGGGAGGGGCTGGGTGGGGAAGGAGGGGCTGGGTGGGGAGGGGAGGGGAGGGTGGGGAGGGACTGGGTGGGGAGGGTGGGGAGGGGCTGGGTAGGGAGGGTGGGGAGGGGCTGGGTGGGGAAGGTGGGGCTGGGTTGGGGAAGGACTGGTCACCCCGTGGTGCCCTTATAAAACTCAACGTTTAACCTACCCACGCCGCCGTTGACCCTGCTCATTGACCAAGCAACCCAACGTTCCTACCAGCTCTTTCCACAGGAATGTGTTTTAAATCGCGAGATGGTTATTTATATACCTTTATATGTCGTGTTGGCGTTGGAGTGGTGGCGCACAAGTTAGCGCACTGCGCTATCAATCTACCGGCCCTGAGTTTGATTCCCACCTACTGCTAAGATGATTTGACATGAGTGATATCTCAAGTGACCTCAGGGCCCCTCCCACAACACCCCTTCACCAACCTGCATTGAAAGGTGTGGTGAAGTATGGTTAATCAGCTCCAATATAACCGACACACGGCGTGGGGAGGACTTCATCCAGCAGTGGATTGCCAGAGGCCTGTACATTACTGTAAAATTATTCACTCAATTACAATGTTTGAATATAATGTCACATAGCATTGTGAATCATATTGAATCTCCTGCTTCATCTTGTAATATCGATGAAATTTCGAAAATGTGCCATGACTGACTTTCACAAATTCAACTAAATTAAATCACGAAATGTTTTTTCATTCGTTTTTTTCATTTTTTCATTTATTTATTTTTTACCTACGTGACTTTACCGAAAAAGAGTCACGAAAACTTCAAATCTAGAATTTCACAAAATCCTTTGTCAACTGGGATTATTAGATAGGGTTGGGGTTAAGCCTAACCCTGTCATAGGCCAAAAACTCAATGGAAATAATTGGGTTGATATGTTAACCGAGTTGCAAAGTTAACATTATCTGACTCGCCTAAAATTATCAAATGTTGCCGTGTGGTTATGGAAAATCCCCGATGTTGTGCAGTCTGCATGCGTAACAACGTCACAGATAATACACCGAGGATATGCTTAGAGACGACACGAGACTGCCATTATAAAATGTGTGGACGAATTCAAGGTGAGAATGATGCAAAGCGATTGAATAAGCCTCTGAAGTATGTTGGTGAAATGACATCCGGTGAGTATGTAATGGGAATGGACAGTTTCTGGTCACGTACACTTTTTCCCCGCGTCGCGTGGGACTTTTAAACATTGCACAGCGGTGGAGACACGCAGAGTGAAGTGTTTGGCACCAAAGGAGTAAAACAAAACCAGATTCGGTATGTCGGTGGGCGATGCGGAGAGCTCGGTGATACGTGGTAACGCTGCACTTGATCTCCCCGTGTCAGGTAACTACGTCTCAGCGTGAGATTTGTGCTCCCAGGGTCTGCAGTCAGAAATTGCATTCCGTAAGGACAGGACGCACTGGGAAAAGAATGGATAGAGAAGAGTTCGGCTGCTTTAAGCAGCCGAACGACACACGAGTTCATACTGGAAGCACATGTTGTGGAGCACATGTCTCTTTGCTTTCACTGTTATGCTTTTCCACCCTGTGTCTTTGTGTGCTGACAATGCTGTGCGTTGCAACAAAAAAAAAGTTCAGTGCCCTAGATAAAAGTGTATTTTTATTCACAGCAAACTCATAACAGCAAGCCACACTCTGTACGAGCGATGTGCAATGATTCACCCTGTCTGCCAGTGGCTTCATGAATTGTCGCAATTCAGAGTGGCATTTAAATTCGAGAATCCGTCCTTTATTTAAACATTGGGGTGGCTGTGGTTACCATTTCTGACTGTGGGTATTACATGGGCCCACTGCATACCGCACATTATATATAAAAAAAAAGTGATTCTAGTTTCCAGCCCTTCGTCAATCCACTGCTGGATGAAGGCCTCCCCACAGTTTGTAGATGGGGGATATTTTTGTTCCCTGATGATGCTTGGCATATTTCCAAATAAAGCATCGTCACGTCTATTTCCAAATTGGTTGTGAGAATTGCACTTTCACTTGCCAGTGAGCTGAAACAATAATAATTGGTGCATTAAAACGCCGTACATGGTGGCAATTACATTTATTTGTGGCTGTATTGGAGCTATTAGATGGTTTCACAATACATATTTAGCCGGATTATTACATGGACTAACCCAAAAAAAATAATTATGAGTCTGAATCGATATCGGTGGATGAACCGAAGCATTGTTACACCTCGACTGTGTACCGCCTCTTGGATCATCACACTCCGCTCTCCTTCACACATTTCGTAGGTATGGTGCCTGTCAAAGGAGCGTTCGAACAGGAAAAATAACGAATGTGCAGGGATCTCGTGAAGTGCGTGCGATGGAGCCTTGTGTGCAATGTGTTGGCAGGCTGCCTTTTTCCCTGCGGCCAGCGATCAACGCGTGGCCCACTCGCCTTCACACCCAGCTTAGTTGCGCTTCTCGCGATGATAGCTCACTGCACACAAAGTTGGGTGGCAATGTGACGGGAGAGAGAAACACATGTGTATATTTACAGTTTTTAAATGAACGCGAGCAATTTTTACGTATATATATTTTTGTTTAATACAAAGTAGCATGAGGGGAGGCGGGGGGGGGTAGCAACTCAACGTTGATTCACCGCTCAAGGGAATAAACTTGTCGATTTAGGGGGGTACGGTGGTGGCATTTGTTGGCGTAGGCCCCACCAAGGCACCCGCCTATCGCCGGCCCCTGCATGGCAGCATCTTGGCATCGGAATAATCGGCAGAGCGAAAAGATCAGGGGTCAATCGGAGAAGTTCGCGAGTTATATTCCTTTGCTTGACGGTTGACTCACCCCCTCCCCCATCGGCCCTTCAGCGTCGAGAAAAGAGTTAGCACTTCGTGGGGAGGGATCAACAGTGGGTGTCGTATGGAGCGACTCGGTAGGAATTGAGTAATTTTCGCCCCTGTTTCAGGGCTGTAAATGGGAGATCGGCACTGCCTCAATGCTCATTTGAACGGCAAATCACTTTGACATTTTTTTTTGTAGTTTGACATTTTTACGCAGAGCGGTGGAACGCACTGAGCGTGTTGGGATCACAGTTACTGCCGGGGCATGCTTGGCTAGCAGTGCAACTGGGCAGCCACGAACAGAAGGACACTGTCGTAGCAAATAAGTGACATTTTTTATTGAGAACAATGGGATACTTTTTTTTGCAGATGTGTCATTATTAAGGCTCATTTGCTTCTTACCCAGGATAATGTTTGCAGCCACACATTCACTCCTTGTTCACCACAGCCACTCTGATACAATTCTAGATTTGAAGCTTTCGTGACTGCAAGGATTCATACTCTTAGGTTTTTCGGTAAAGTCACGTAGGTAAAAAATAAAACATTTTTTAATATAAATAAAATAATAATAAATGAAAATAAATCATTTAAATCACGACGTTTCGGAGGCAACACAAGTCTCCGTCTTCAGGTGGGACCGTCACAGCTACATTTACTGCATCAAGTGAGTACGAAACGTCGTGATTTAATTGATTTATTTTCATTTATTATTATTTTATTTCTATTATTATTATTTTTTATTTACGTGACTTTACCGAAAAAAACCTAAGAGTACTCTGATACAACTCCCCTCCCGGCATGCTGACCCTGCCGTCATCCTGCCCGTTAATGCAACAACAAAAACACATCCAGTCCTCTATTCATGTTGTTTCCAAACAAAGTGGCCTTGCCTTGCCTACCTCTTGATTCAACTGACAATGTATTCAGCCATACCTAGTCAGCTGTACTGGCTGCTTATACAACAGGAAAGTGTTGCAAATGGCATTTGCAGTGCACAATGATGAGTGCATACTCTTTGTACAGGAAGGTCCTCTTGTATCATTAGTTCCCCTTTTTTCACATGACTGTTGAACCCCACACGCTTCGATGGCAGTGGAGCAGCACTTACCAGGGCAGGGTGTCTGTGTGTGTGTTTTTTTGTTTGGTATCTCTGCAGTGATACGTTCATTAACTGTGATGTTTGTCCAGTGTATTCGCAGTGTTGTTATATATTCACATTGAGCGATATGCCTATCACCCCACGCCACCCAGGTGCAGTTTTAGTGGCATTCGTAAGGGATGGGCCCCGTGTAGTCCAATTTTTTTTATTTTGTGACATTGCTAAAAAAAAAAGGCGTGATAGACGTCATCATGAGACCAGGCAATGGAGCCAAGAATGGAAACACGCACATGCTCGCTTTCTCGTATTAACATTCACTTTAATAATCATACATTATTTACATACCCTGCCAGGTGGCTCAGCAGTAGATCGAACAGCTCGCAATCAATCCGACGATTGCTAGTTCAAATCCTGGTTGGGGATAGACTCAGCCTATCATCCCTACAAGGATGATAAAAAGGAGTGGCGAATTTTTCACCACTGCCTCAGGGCTGTCAACTGGAGCTGAGCACTGCCTTAAAGCTGATTTTGAGCAGGAAGTCACTGTCGTCATCATCGCGATCCATGAGCAGATAGCCTGTAGGTTGTCCACTGCACATTCCGTTATTTGTTTCCACTTCCAGGAAATCCCTAACGTTGTTAATGCCCGTTGCACCGACACGGATCTTCCTTACGCTTTTTGTGTGTGTTGTTTCGTGCGCTCGCGTGCATGTGTGTGCGTGCATGCGTGTCACCGCCCGCTCGCAGGCTGCAGCAAGATGGACCCACCGCCCTACGCGGGGATCCGCTACATGGGGCTGAGCTACCGCCAGGTGCAGCTCATGCGGCTGATGCCCATCCGCTACGAGATCGAGTACGTGTGCAAGGCGGGCCGCGAGATCCAAGGACCGCACGTTCGCAAGTGCCTGCCCAACGGCACCTGGTCTGACATGGGCACGGAGACCAAATGCTGTACGTAACGGGAGACGCGATGCTCTTGTTGTAGCGCGCGAGAAGATCGCAGCCCCCCCCCCCCCCCGCTGCTGCTGCGGGGGGCACTGGGCCTAAAACGTCAATGGAATTTATTCTGTCGCGCAATTCGTTCTATCCCGTTGCAGCGCACCAGCAAGATTTTACATTCGCGGAGGCAAAGATAGCCCACCTATAGCCTTGCCAGACTGTTGGTGCAAGTGCTGTTAGCGAGCACCTGTGAAGGTCGGCACGGCGCACATCGCACCAGCTATTAATTTGAGGCTCAGTCAACCTAGGGGAGGCCCAGGACCGGTTCGGATAATCGTCACCGGTGTTGGCCGTTAGGCGTAATGAAACTCGGGTCGTCGGGTTCGTAGCGCAGGGCGCTAAACCCATGCTTCCCCACAGTATTTTATATACAAAGACAAAGATCCCCTGAAAAGCCTTAACAGACTGTGCTGTTAGTGAGCACCTATAAAGGCCGGAACGCTACACGAGGGGGTGGGTGACCAGCACCACGCCCAACCCGCCTTTATCTTCCCAGTGGCGATGTTTACTACACACCGCACCAGGTACTCATTTGAGGCTGAGTCGACCTAGGGGAGACCCAGGACCGGTTCGGATAATCGTCACCGGTGTTGGCCGTGAGCGGGAATCGAACCCGGGTCGCCAAAGTTCGTAGTGCAGCGCGCTAACCGCTACACCACCGCTCCCCACACACCCACACGCACTCACGCACACTGCTGCCGCTTGAGGCTTTCACGGTTGCGCTGTTTGGCTCTCGGGGATGCGTTTTCAGCTCGTGGTGCAATCTGTGTGTGTGGTTTTTTTTATTCGACCCGATTTCATTTTATTCTTCAGGGAACAGAATGCAAGAGTGGAAAGGATTCAGTGCGACCCAAAAACAAACCGTGGAGAGTTGCGCACGCGCGCGCATTTGCCAGAGTTTTGTGACACGGATGGATGATTTGATAGAGGAAGCCTTTCAAAGTCCCGGTGAAGCCATTAGCTCCAACTGCTCCGTTGCCATTGCTTCCTTCCTTTTGCTGCCCCATTTCCGAGTCGGTGCAAAAGTTTGCAAGACGAAACTTCATGAGTTCACTCCTTAAACGGGGTCCACGCTCCGATCGATTCGTTGCGCCTCTTGGTTGCATGCGACCGTAATGTGCGGACATCACCTCCGCAATTGGTTGCGAGCCGCGAGGCAAAAAATCCGGTTGCACGCAGCAAAGACTCTACAATCCAGCGGCGATCTGCTCGGCAATTTGTTCGCGACGTACTTCATCGCCACGTAAAGCATTCGCAAAAACTGCGATCGCTCGCTTACAGCCCCGCTGGATTATGTCCTCGTTGGGCAACTACTCGCTCGGACGCGGAATAAAGCAGCTGCGGGCGACGATTTTAAGCGGTGGCGATTCCGAGAGGGACTCGTCTGCGCGACTGATCGCTCGATTGTGCGTGACCGGGCGTTGCGGTCTCGTCAACAAGTGCCGTGCGGATCCGACTCTTTCCCCGTGGTCTCGCGACATCCGAGTGCCCGTCACAGTAACCCTGCCCTAACCCCGCACACGGTCTCGCCCATCTAATCTCAACCTTCCTCTTTTTAAACTGGTTGTAACTATACGTCTGTTTAACACGTAGGCTTTTCGCGACAGATATCATTCATAATACGGTGGGGTTTTTGGGGGGGATTTAGATCGCGTGAATATTAATGTGTCGTTAAACCCGCCACCACCCGACAGCCGATGAGTAAGGTTTGTCACGTGAATAGAACATGCCAATTCGTTACTAGTACAGCACACCGGTGTGTTGGAGAGTGAATCCACAACATTTATACATTTGTCTGGCTGCCGCCTGATGATGCCGGTTGTAATTACTGGCAGAACGTTGTACTCAGTGTGCTGAACTAGTAACGAATTGGCATGTTCTGTTTATGTGATAAACCTTACTATATTCTTGGTTATTCTTGGTTCTTTCGGTTAAGTCACGTAGAAGGGAAATAATAAAATAATAAATATATAAAACAATTAAAACAAAATTCTTGGTTCTTTCGGTAAAGTCACGTAGATAATTTTTTTTATTAAATAAAATAAAATAATTTTCAATTACAAATAAATTCAAAATAATAAAAGCAAAAAACCCACGACGTTTCGATCGCAACACAAGCGGAGAGAAAAGAGAACAACTGCTTATAAGGGTTTCCAAAATGAGTGAGCGGGGGACGAGAGTTGGGGGGAGGGGAGAGCTTGTGCAGCGTGAACAGCAAGGGCGGGGCAGCCAGTCAGCCAATGGGGGGGAGGAAGGGGGTATAGATAGGGGGAGAGAGAGGGGGGTAGAGATAGGGGGAGAGAGATAGGGGGAGAGAGAGGGGGGGTAGAGATAGGGGGGGAGAGATAGGGGGAGAGAGAGGGGGGTAGAGATAGGGGGAGAGAGATAGGGGGAGAGAGAGGGGGGGTAGAGATAGGGGGAGAGAGATAGGGGGAGAGAGAGGGGGGTAGAGATAGGGGGAGAGAGATAGGGGGAGAGAGAGGGGGGTAGAGATAGGGGGAGAGAGATAGGGGGAGAGAGTGGGGAGTAGAGATAGGGGGAGAGAGATAGGGGGAGAGAGAGGGGGGGTAGAGATAGGGGGAGAGAGATAGGGGGAGAGAGAGGGGGGTAGAGATAGGGGGAGAGAGATAGGGGGAGAGAGAGGGGGGTAGAGATAGGGGGAGAGAGATAGGGGGAGAGAGAGGGGGGTAGAGATAGGGGGAGAGAGATAGGGGGAGATAGAGGGGGGTAGAGATAGGGGGAGAGAGTGGGAAGTAGAGATAGGGGGAGAGAGATAGGTGGAGAGAGAGGGGGGTAGAGATAGGGGGGGGGGCATTGCACCTCGCTACACACATCCACACTGCTGACGGTAGAGGTTGACAAGAAAACACAAATCAAGTCATGACCCAAAGTGGTTGATGACATCTTTACAATGATTGCTGAGTTTAAAACCGTCGTCTCGGTTGAAACTGTGTCTGTGTCTGTATATATGGATGGATTCGTGAACGATTTGGCTAAGTCGGGTGGTGGCGGGTTTAATGACATTTATATTCACGCGATATAACCAAAAAAACCTGTAACTGGAACTTTTTAATGATGAAAAAAAGTATTTCTATGAAAAGAGGAATGTTATTAGTAAGCGCAGACTCAAGTGTGTTAATATACTTTTTTCAATATACTGTTGTAACCTCCAATGTCAATGCACCCGTTTCACTTGAGGATATGGTTAGAGAATCGTAATAATAACGGAATGAAAATTAGCCTAACAATTGCTTGTTTCAGCTTTAATATTGGTTCTGAACTTTGATCCCCCCCCCATGCAAGCTTTTACCGTACCACGTGCATATATTAACATGATTCGTAATGAACATGTGTGTGTATGTATGCAGTTATCTTTGTCTGTGAAGTGGCCATACCCACTTCATGAACATTCAGAACTTGACTGGAGAAGCATCAATATTTGTTGTGGGTTCACAGGAGGTGGTGGTGTGGAAAGCACCGTGAGTTTGTGTCATCACTTTTTTTTTCATCCCATCGTTTATTTTATTCCGTAACGCGATGCATTGTGCGAGACACATTCTTAACGCACTGGCAAAGGCGGCGCAGTGGATCTTCTTTGCCAATAAGTATGAAGTTTAACTTGTAAATGGACACCGCAGCACCACTAATTAGGAGCGAACTAAAGTTTATGCCCAGCAGAAACAATGAGTGGCTCTATAAATACACCGAACGCGTGATTGAAATCCCTTGCGGACTACACAATACGATGTCACGTTGTGCCTTAGTCATTGCCGAGCTTGATAGCTGCCATGCGAAGGCTTTCTTAAGATACGGTGTTCAGGTTAAGAGGTTTTTTTCTTCTTCTTCTTCAAATGTTGCTTTTGTTGGTGCTCCGATTAATTGGCGTACATGTTGGGCACAGCGAGCACAGAGCCATTTGCTTCGCCTCTGAATGCGACCCACTTCTTTGCATCTCTTATCGCCATAGCGATACGATTGTGCTGTCATTTTCACGTCATGGGAACAAGTGACGAGTCGGAACTCTATCAGAGCTATGCATTACCACCCCCGACATGAGAATAATACAGGTCTTTTGGGGGGGGGTTAGATCGCCTAAATATAAATGTGTCGTTAAACCCGCCACTACCCGGCACAGCCAATTAGTAAGGTTTGTCACGTAAACAGAAAATGCCAATTCGTTAGTAGTACAGCACACCGGTGTGTTGGAGAGCAAAGCCACAACATTAACAATCTGAGTACGACGTTTTGCCAGTAATTACAACCGGCATCATTAGGCGACAGCCAGATTTGTGGCTGGTTTAACGGGTGGTGGCGGGTTTAACGACACATTCATATTTACGCGATCTAACCCAAAAAAACCTAGATTATGGATGATATTGGTCGCGAAAGCCTACGTGTTAAAACGAGAATAAAGGCCTGCGGAAGGAGTTATCACAGAACACATCCGCGATGCCTTTCAAGTGCAATCTCTGAATCCACACTTCAGGTGCTGCACTCTCCCATGCGCTGCTACAAAGAAATGTCTGTTGCCTAACAGGCAAAGCCCTTTTTATTATTATTGTTATCCAGCTTGGATTCTGCCAAATCACGTGCACAAAAATAACAACAAACAGAATTTTAAATGATGCGTCGTGCATGCAGTCATTGGTGGTGACCAGGCTGAGACCATCAGCTCATTCTGACTTAAGAACCCGGTTAAAATCACGAGTGTTTACCTGGATGTGAACACAGCATTTCAACAATGGTGGCTCAATTTCGATTTAAAGCTTTCGTGACTGCAGGGATTCATCTTCTTGATTCTTTCGGTAAAGTCACGTAGAAGGGAAATAATAAAATAATAAAAATAAAACAATAAAATAATTCTTACGACGTTTCGGCCACAACGCAAGCAGCCGTCCTGGTCTGTCGGGGAGACAGCGTCTGAATTTAGACGCTGTCTCCCCGACAGACCTGGTCTTCACATGAGGACGGCTGCTTGCGTTGTGGCCGAAACGTCGTGAGAATTATTTTATTATGTTTTATTTTATTTTATTATTTCCCTTCTACGTGACTTTACCGAAAGAACCAAGAAAATGGTGGCTCAGTGCTCTCTCTCTCTGATCCCTGAACCATCCAACCAGTACGGCCTACTTTAATATTGATTATTTTCCCCATTGTTCCCATCCACCAGAAGCCAACCGGTTCAATGTGTAGTGCCGTGCTGTGATCAATCGCTGTTGAGCTCCTGTGTGAATTGGTTCGGATTTGGCTCCGAGAAGGGCAGGCGTGAGTGTTGGGAACATTATTCACAAGACGAATGCACTTGTGGCACATCGACGACATCGGCGCGAGCGTGCCAACTTCAAATTCATTATCGGGGTCCGTGTACAAAAATAAAACAGCTGTAAAATGCTTTACAATCATTGCCGTTAACAAACAAAGAAGATATATAATTGGCTACTGTGTCAGGAAATGACCTCTCCCTCTCTTCAGCGCGGAAATAAAGAGAAGGGATAATATTGTGGCTCATACGTGGGAGTTCTTTTTTTTTTTAACTGCAGTGACTAAGTCTGCGAACTGACGGACACATTGCATTTGAGTGGTGTTCCTAGCTGACATTCAACAAAAAACTCCTGTATGAATGACGCATTTGTGTGGTTTTTGTCTTCCTATTCTTGACGGTTTGATACGTCACAACGAGTATCTTCAGATTTCACAAATTGGAGATGGTCGGATGACTCAGAGGGCTTTAACCACGTCAGACATGGGATCATAGGTTGCAATTCTAGCAACCATGATTACAAACCACGTTCTCTAGTGGGCCAAATTGATGAGCTCAGCCTGGTAGCCAATGACTGCACAATAAAAGTATCGTATTCAACGTTGTTTTCGGTTTATTTGACTCATTTTCAGCTCTGAGGACAAAAAAAAAACTGTTCAGGTGGATTGCCACGGGCAGAGGACCTTTATCGTCTACGCAATCATGAGTTATCTTAGTCGCTGGCCTTTTTGAGTTGTAGGCCACTGAGCCTGTGCTAAGAAAATTGTGATTTATTTTTTCAAAAACACAATGTATGTTGAACTTCTTTCGCAACGTACGTAGCCAACCGTGCACATTTGGAGGTGCGGTGGCGGCGGGGGGCGAACTAAACACGCATAAAGCAGCTCTAAAGAAATGAGTTTCTAAGGTGCAGTCCCAAAAAGTTCAAGTTCAAGTTCATTTATTAGGTATAGCCCTGTGAGCCATTCGGCTCTTGAATCGGGTGCAACCGCAACAAACAAAAAACTAAAACATGAACAAGAAAACATCTTAAAGTGACTATGTGCAAACAGAAAATCCAAGAAAACACAGCAAAATATTGCAGAAAAAGCACCGTACACCAACACTGTGTGCAGTGTTGGTGTACGAGTTGGTGTACGAGTTGCCCACTTCACCGTTGTTGCAAGAGCATCCACTAGACGAGGGAGAACCAGGGAGGTGATGTAGCCCGCTCTTCCATGCTGGCATATTCATCTCGAAATAGATGGGAGTAGCCACACTCTGCTTAGTCCACCGCGCGGACAACCTGCCGACTGACTAACTGCGGTCTCCTCGTTTATAACGCTGGGTGGACAGGGACTGGGGGGAGGAGGGGAGGATTAAGGTAACCATTTTCTTGGTTCAGATTCAGACTCTGCCTTCTCGACAGACCTGTTCTCCACCTGAGGACGGCTGCTTACGTTGTGGCCGAAACGTCGTGAGAATTATTTTGTTATGTTTTATTTTTATTATTTTATTATTTTCATTCTACGTGACTTTACCGAAAGAACCAAGAAGATGAATCCCTGCAGTCACGAAAGCTTTAAATCGAAATTTAAGGTAACCATTGTTGCAACTACCGTGAGGGGAGATCAAACCGAACCTGCGACCTCTTTAATTGCAAGTCCAGTTTGATAGAAAAGAGGTTTTTTGGGGGGGTTAGATCGCGTAACTATATAAATGTGTCGTTAAACCCGTCACCACCCGACACAGCCAATTAGTAAGGGTTGTCACGTAAACAGAACGATGTGTTGGAGGGCAAAGCCACAACATTTACAATCTGAGTACGACGTTTCAACTAGCCTCATCAGGTGACAGCCAGGTTTGTGGAGAAATCCTCCTGTTTCGTTCCCTAAACAGAGGGGTAGATGTGATTACATCGCTTGGGTGCTCATCTTGCGCGAAGTGGGGGTTTAATGAATGCATGTGAATGACAATGGGTATCCATTGCCGCTTGGGTTATTAATATGATCAAACCGAATCTGCGACCTCTTCAATTGCAAGTCCACTATGATAGCCACGACACCGGGCGGGCGTCCACTGCAATATGAACCTGACAAAGGGGTAGCGAAATAAAGAAGTACAAATTCACGTGAATTTTCCGTCCTTTTTTCGTTGTCGTTGTTGTTGTTGCAGTGCGGATGTGCCCCGAGATGCCCCCCGACTTCTCGAACGGCCGAGCGGAGATCGTGGAAGGTAACGCACGGGCGACCGAGGGTACCCACATCGAGTACTCGTGCGACGAAGGGTATCGCCTGGTCGGCCCACCGGCCCTCTACTGCACCAAGGCCGGCGTGTGGGACGGCTCGATTCCCCACTGCGTCGGTACGTACCGCCTCGTTCAAAAACACGCGCTTTTGAATTTAAAAAAATTATAATGCGTCCCTAACAATTGCCCCGGGGTCGTTTTCGTCGCGCGGAATTCTACCCCCAGCCCCATCAAGTGCAATGCCAGTTGTTGTGTGTTCCTGTTGTGAAGCCAGTGACAGTCGTTGTGTGTTCCTGTTGTGAAGCCAGTGTCAGTCGTTGTGTGTTCCTCTTGTGAAGCCAGTGTCAGTCGTTGTGTGTTCCTCTTGTGAAGCCAGTGTCAGTCGTTGTGTGTTCCTCTTGTGAAGCCAGTGTCAGTCGTTGTGTGTTCCTCTTGTGAAGCCAGTGTCAGTCGTTGTGTGTTCCTGTTGTGAAGCCAGTGTCAGTCGTTGTGTGTTCCTGTTGTGAAGCCAGTACCAGTCGTTGTGTGTTCCTGTTGTGAAGCCAGTGTCAGTCGTTGTGTGTTCCTGTTGTGAAGCCAGTGTCAGTCGTTGTGTGTTCCTGTTGTGAAGCCAGTACCAGTCGTTGTGTGTTCCTGTTGTGAAGCCAGTGACAGTCGTTGTGTGTTCCTCTTGTGAAGCCAGTGTCAGTCGTTGTGTGTTCCTGTTGTGAAGCCAGTGACAGTCGTTGTGTGTTCCTGTTATGAAGCCAGTGTCAGTCGTTGTGTGTTCCTGTTATGAAGCCAGTGTCAGTCGTTGTGTGTTCCTGTAGTGAAGCCAGTGACAGTCATTGTGTGTTCCTGTTGTGAAGCCAGTGACAGTCGTTGTGTGTTCCTGTTGTGAAGCCAGTGCCAGTCATTGTGTGTTCCTGTTGTGAAGCCAGTGCCAGTCGTTGTGTGTTCCTGTTGTGAAGCCAGTGTCAGTCGTTGTGTGTTCCTGTTGTGAAGCCAGTGACAGTCGTTGTGTGTTCCTCTCGTGAAGCCAGTGTCAGTCGTTGTGTGTTCCTGTTGTGAAGCCAGTGTCAGTCGTTGTGTGTTCCTGTTGTGAAGCCAGTGACAGTCGTTGTGTGTTCCTGTTGTGAAGCCAGTGTCAGTCGTTGTGTGTTCCTCTCGTGAAGCCAGTGTCAGTCGTTGTGTGTTCCTGTTGTGAAGCCAGTGTCAGTCGTTGTGTGTTCCTGTTGTGAAGCCAGTGACAGTCGTTGTGTGTTCCTGTTGTGAAGCCAGTGTCAGTCGTTGTGTGTTCCTGTTGTGAAGCCAGTGACAGTCGTTGTGTGTTCCTGTTGTGAAGCCAGTGTCAGTCGTTGTGTGTTCCTGTTGTGAAGCCAGTGTCAGTCGTTGTGTGTTCCTGTTGTGAAGCCAGTGACAGTCGTTATGTGTTCCTGTTGTGAAGCCAGTGTCAGTCGTTGTGTGTTCCTGTTGTGAAGCCAGTGTCAGTCGTTGTGTGTTCCTGTTGTGAAGCCAGTGTCAGTCGTTGTGTGTTCCTGTTGTGAAGCCAGTGTCAGTCGTTGTGTGTTCCTGTTGTGAAGCCAGTGACAGTCGTTGTGTGTTCCTGTTGTGAAGCCAGTGTCAGTCGTTGTGTGTTCCTGTTGTGAAGCCAGTGTCAGTCGTTGTGTGTTCCTGTTGTGAAGCCAGTGTCAGTCGTTGTGTGTTCCTGTTGTGAAGCCAGTGACAGTCGTTGTGTGTTCCTGTTGTGAAGCCAGTGTCAGTCGTTGTGTGTTCCTGTTGTGAAGCCAGTGACAGTCGTTGTGTGTTCCTGTTGTGAAGCCAGTGTCAGTCGTTGTGTGTTCCTGTTGTGAAGCCAGTGACAGTCGTTGTGTGTTCCTGTTGTGAAGCCAGTACCAGTCGTTGTGTGTTCCTGTTGTGAAGCCAGTACCAGTCGTTGTGTGTTCCTGTTGTGAAGCCAGTGGCAGTCGTTGTGTGTTCCTGTTGTGAAGCCAGTGTCAGTCGTTGTGTGTTCCTGTTGTGAAGCCAGTACCAGTCGTTGTGTGTTCCTGTTGTGAAGCCAGTGACAGTCGTTGTGTGTTCCTGTTGTGAAGCCAGTGTCAGTCGTTGTGTGTTCCTGTTGTGAAGCCAGTACCAGTCGTTGTGTGTTCCTGTTGTGAAGCCAGTGGCAGTCGTTGTGTGTTCCTGTTGTGAAGCCAGTACCAGTCGTTGTGTGTTCCTGTTGTGAAGCCAGTGTCAGTCGTTGTGTGTTCCTGTTGTGAAGCCAGTGTCAGTCGTTGTGTGTTCCTGTTGTGAAGCCAGTGCCAGTCGTTGTGTGTTCCTGTTGTGAAGCCAGTGTCAGTCGTTGTGTGTTCCTCTTGTGAAGCCAGTGCCAGTCGTTGTGTGTTTCTGTTGTGAAGCCAGTGTCAGTCGTTGTGTGTTCCTCTCGTGAAGCCAGTGTCAGTCGTTGTGTGTTCCTCTCGTGAAGCCAGTGTCAGTCGTTGTGTGTTCCTGTTGTGAAGCCAGAGTCAGTCGTTGTGTGTTCCTGTTATGAAGCCAGTGCGGTGCGCTTGCCTAACGACACAACACGCACCTCCGATTAGCACGCTTGGCCCACGTACGTTGTGCAAAAGAAGTTCTACGTACGTACATGCACACAGGCAAGCCGATGTGGGTGGAGAAGTTTGTAGCTACATATGCTACGGGCCCCGCACTTTCAAGGGCCCCCCGCGCTAAATGTTTTCAAGCTATCAATGCTAGTGCAGTGATTCCGCACTTGCTATATTACTATAGTACTATACTGCCTTCAACTTTTATGAACGACTGGGTGTTTAAGGTTAACGATTTGTCGTATTATCTGACTGTATAGCAAATTAAAAAATACAATAATTTCACTATGCAAGTTAAACATTTACGGTTTTAATATTCATGTTTTTTTTTTATTTAGGGCCCCTTTATAACATATGCTACAGGCCCCGCACTAGCATAATCCTGCACTGGCTATACCCTCTTCTGAAGGGTGTTAACAATTTTAGAGCTACAATAGAATTCGGATTTTTACGGCATCTAAATACAATTATCCCACGATTAAGCATCTAATCGTTGAGACAGCACTATTAAGATAAACATTTCTCATTTTAGTTTGCACACAATGAATGCCATGAAAGTGTGATCCGCAGCCATTAGGGCATTTTAGAAATGGAAATTATTTGCTTTCAAGAAAGTGATAATTGTTGCCAAGCGTAGTGTAATCCCATCTGGGCCAGTAATCAATGTAACCGTGTGACGTGTGTGTACTGTTGTGGGAAGTGGTAGTGTAGCGGATAGCGCGCTGCGCTACGAACCCAGAGACATGGCCAACACCAGTGACGATAACTGGTCCTGGGCCTCCCCTAGGTCAACTCAGCGTCAAATGAGTACCGGGTGTACATCATCGCCACTGGGAAGACAAAGGCGGTCGGGTGTGGTGCTGGCCACCCACCCCCTCCTCGAGTGTCATTCCGGCCGCTAACAGCACTCGCCCTAAACAATCTGTCGAGGCTATACGGGGGATCTTTGTCCTTGTTTTGTTGTGCAGGACTAGAGAAGACACAGCGCGCTCGTTATGCAGTTATGTGCGGGGGAGTCAGGTGGGAAAAACTGAGATAAATAAGGAGGGTGAGAGTGGGCGAGGGGTAACGATTTCCCGGTTCCCACTGCTCAGCCTGCACTCCCGTGAGATTTGAAGCTTCACCTAGAGACCTGACGGCATAAAGCACAACCTAATGAGTCTGTGTTACGGTATCCCACGTGTTCATATTTTATGCGGTTTTCCATACGTAAGTAGACCGATAGGATTGTGTCTTCCCCTTGTGAATACATGTGGCCACCTGCATAGAAATTAATATTAAGGCGTCCATTCACCTGGTTATAATCCCATAAGGCTGCCCCATAACACAGGGCAAAAGTCAAGTTGCTATCTTTAATCGATTCTGCTTGATTTTAACAATAAATAATTTAAGCAGCATTGGTTAAATTAAAGCAAACTTTGCACCAGTTTCTAAATATAGTGTCTCATTAGCTTAGTCAGGCTTGCCTGAGCCAATGCGAGTGAACTGCCATATGTTATATCTTTACGATATGGATTCTCGTTTGAAGCAAAAAAACATGAAGATGTTTATTTTACCAGGTAAGGCCCACTGAGATGAATAGCTCTTTTTCCAGAAGCGACCTGTACACAAATAATAGCTAAACGAAGTGGCTTATCATGCGGAAATTGAGAGCAGCCAGCGACTCCAAGCGCACGTTTCTAACTGCGGAGAGAAAAATCCACGCCGCCACTGGGAGAGAGACACCGCAAACTCCAAATATACAGCAGGCGTCAAAGGGTTGGGATCGAACCCATGACCTCCTGCATACCAAACGAGGCAGATACCATCTCTCCAAAATTAACCTGTCCAGAGTTTGCTTGCTTCCAACTAATGCTGCTGAAATATACAGGCAGTCCTCGACTTACGGACACCCCACTTACAAGTCGTTCGACTTACAAACGCATCTCAGGAACGAATTAGGTTCGTAACCCAAGGACTGCCCGTACACTGAGAGAGGCCTTGTGGTTGACAGTGAGTGCAAACTATATATATACACGTTTATATTGTTTACGTCGAAGGACACGCATATACGAAGGGATATATATTATCTTCCGTCTTATTTTGTCATGTTCTCCACAAACGGCGCTCACAGTTATTTTCTGTTTCATTCTATAGGGCGTTGGTATTTGTTTCTTTGCGGCGCTAGTCTTCCTGCAGATTGAAATGTTTTTTGCTCGCAAGTACTGTACTTTAGATGACAACACGGTGAAGGTCAGGTTGAAAATAAATTGAACGATGATAACCTTGGCCCTCACAATGATATAATTTAAAATGTTTGAGATGTGACCACGATATTGTTTACCTCCGTATACAGAGTGTTTCGCCGGCTCCAAATCAGGTGTATCGGCATCATTTTTTTTCGGTTAATGCTACAGAAGGAGATTCACGGCAAACACTGGCCCACACAATAGTAATTAGTGTATACTTTATCCAGGGATCAATATACTACTTTGCCACTTATCGACTGTAAGATTAATGATTTAACCATGATAGTGCAGATGTTTTTTTTTGCTGACACAGAAGCATAT